CCCTAAAATGTATCCCGCGTGTGTGAGTGTGAGCGTGAGGACGAATCCCTAAAATGTATCCCGCGTGTGTGAGTGTGAGCGTGAGGACGAATCCCTAAAATGTATCCCGCGTGTGTGAGTGTGAGCGTGAGGACGAATCCCTAAAATGTATCCCGCGTGTGTGAGTGTGAGCGTGAGGACGAATCCCTAAAATGTATCCCGCGTGTGTGAGTGTGAGCGTGAGGACGAATCCCTAAAATGTATCCCGCGTGTGTGAGTGTGAGCGTGAGGACGAATCCCTAAAATGTATCCCGCGTGTGTGAGTGTGAGCGTGAGGACGAATCCCTAAAATGTATCCCGCGTGTGTGAGTGTGAGCGTGAGGACGAATCCCTAAAATGTATCCCGCGTGTGTGAGTGTGAGCGTGAGGACGAATCCCTAAAATGTATCCCGCGTGTGTGAGTGTGAGCGTGAGGACGAATCCCTAAAATGTATCCCGCGTGTGTGAGTGTGAGCGTGAGGACGAATCCCTAAAATGTATCCCGCGTGTGTGAGTGTGAGCGTGAGGACGAATCCCTAAAATGTATCCCGCGTGTGTGAGTGTGAGCGTGAGGACGAATCCCTAAAATGTATCCCGCGTGTGTGAGTGTGAGCGTGAGGACGAATCCCTAAAATGTATCCCGCGTGTGTGAGTGTGAGCGTGAGGACGAATCCCTAAAATGTATCCCGCGTGTGTGAGTGTGAGCGTGAGGACGAATCCCTAAAATGTATCCCGCGTGTGTGAGTGTGAGCGTGAGGACGAATCCCTAAAATGTATCCCGCGTGTGTGAGTGTGAGCGTGAGGACGAATCCCTAAAATGTATCCCGCGTGTGTGAGTGTGAGCGTGAGGACGAATCCCTAAAATGTATCCCGCGTGTGTGAGTGTGAGCGTGAGGACGAATCCCTAAAATGTATCCCGCGTGTGTGAGTGTGAGCGTGAGGACGAATCCCTAAAATGTATCCCGCGTGTGTGAGTGTGAGCGTGAGGACGAATCCCTAAAATGTATCCCGCGTGTGTGAGTGTGAGCGTGAGGACGAATCCCTAAAATGTATCCCGCGTGTGTGAGTGTGAGCGTGAGGACGAATCCCTAAAATGTATCCCGCGTGTGTGAGTGTGAGCGTGAGGACGAATCCCTAAAATGTATCCCGCGTGTGTGAGTGTGAGCGTGAGGACGAATCCCTAAAATGTATCCCGCGTGTGTGAGTGTGAGCGTGAGGACGAATCCCTAAAATGTATCCCGCGTGTGTGAGTGTGAGCGTGAGGACGAATCCCTAAAATGTATCCCGCGTGTGTGAGTGTGAGCGTGAGGACGAATCCCTAAAATGTATCCCGCGTGTGTGAGTGTGAGCGTGAGGACGAATCCCTAAAATGTATCCCGCGTGTGTGAGTGTGAGCGTGAGGACGAATCCCTAAAATGTACCCTGCATGTGTGAGTGTGAGCGTGAGGACGAATCCCTAAAATGTATCCCGCATGTGGGTGTGAGTGTGAGGACGAATCCCTAAAATGTACCCTGCATGTGTGAGTGTGAGCGTGAGGACGTATCCCTTTCTCTTCCAGATGCCCTGAGCTCTGACCAGGACGCTGCTCACCGCCACCTGGGCACCAGCAGCGGCTCTGTCGCAGCCGCCATCCTGGTCCCGTTCTTCGCTCTCATCTTGTCAGGGTTTGCGTTTTACCTCTACAAACACAGGTACGCCCTTGTGTGCCCCCGTGGTGGTGTGACGCGTGCCCGTCCTCACACTCACATGCACGTGAATTTGCTGTCGCTATGCAGTATTCTCCCTGACATCAAGAATGCTCACTGGCAAGGATTTTTGGGTTTTTTAATCCTCACCCAAGGATATGTTTATTGACGAGAGAGAGAGAGAGAGAGAGAGAGAGGGGGACATCGGCGTGAGAGAAACATCCATCGGTTGCCTCCCATAGGCACCTGCTCAGGAATGAAACACGCACCCAGGTGTGTGCCTGTCCAGGAGCCCACCCCCACCTCCTGGCACCCCGGACGATGCTCCCGGCAGCAGAACCACCAGCCAGGCCATCGCGTGGAGGCGGCGTTGCTTGCTTCTTTGCCAGGCTTTCCCAGGGAGACGCCTCTGAGGATAAACTGCAGGAGAAAGATTGGATTAGGAGTAATGTACTATGTCTCATGTCCATTGAGAGGATGGTATTTCTACCTTCACGGGCCACAGCCAGCTGTCGGGACCGTGGGGCGGCATCCCCCCTCCGGGGGAAGCCCGAACCAGGGTCTCCATGGCTGCTTTCAACGGTGATTTATAAATTATTGATTTATTGATTTCTTTAACAAATACAAACTGAGTCATTACTCTGTACTAAGAAATATCACACGTTCCAGATCTTGAAAAAAGTGTTCCAACTACATTTTAACAGGAAAATGTCAAAACTTGGAGAAAAAAGCTTAAAATGAAATTGCTCCTTTCCTTGGGGTTGACATGGATGTCAAAAAAAAGCAAACATAAATGTTGAAGGACATATAAATCCATGTACATTTTGTCTCCAGGCAGAACGTGTTACGTGGAGGGACTTTGCGGAGCCAGCGCACTGTAAAATACGATTTGGGATAGTAGCATTCCTTACAGATAGTAACAAAAATCACCATCCCATGAAATAAGATTAAGGCATGTTACATGTGTCTCATATTTATTTATAGACTATAGATACTTCTACCTAACCCTGGCTTTTAAAAAAAAAAAACCCACACTGGTGTGAGGGGGTGGTTTTATTTATTTATTTTAGTGACTCGGGAAGCAGCTTTTAAAATGTGTCCTTATGCTCTTTTGAAAAATAAAATAGTAAGAATGAAGCTTCAAAATTAAATTGTAATGGCTGCTCCCAAGGCCGTCCCCACTCTCTCCTGGTTGGCAATGTCCTTGCTTTAAAGCTGTGCCCCGGGGAGGAGTCTCAGTGGTTGTCCCAGAACTAAAGAGGGCGCCTCTGTGCTCACTGATTATTTCCTGGAGAAGCGAGTCCCTGCACACAAGCCCGATAAGCCCGCTCTCAGGTTTCTGCTGGGGACCAGCTGAAAACTTGGTGAAGGTAGAAACCTATCCCACCCCCTTCTCCAAACCTCCCCTCACCGCAGGGACGTCTCTCCTTTTCATGTGCATTTTACAAGCACCTCCCCCCTGAGATTCTCCAAGAAACCCACCTCCTGCAGACATGGTGCAGCCAGGAAGCGTCTGTCATTCCTGCACCGTCACCTGTGCCCTTCGCGGCCTCCAGGGGCCCCCGGGAGCCATGCGGTTCCGGAACGGAGAGAGAGAGAGAGAGAGAGAGAGGGGGACATCGGCGTGAGAGAAACATCCATCGGTTGCCTCCCATAGGCACCTGCTCAGGAATGAAACACGCACCCAGGTGTGTGCCTGTCCAGGAGCCCACCCCCACCTCCTGGCACCCCGGACGATGCTCCCGGCAGCAGAACCACCAGCCAGGCCATCGCGTGGAGGCGGCGTTGCTTGCTTCTTTGCCACGCTTTCCCAGGGAGACGCCTCTGAGGATAAACTGCAGGAGAAAGATTGGATTAGGAGTAATGTACTATGTCTCATGTCCATTGAGAGGATGGTATTTCTACCTTCACGGGCCACAGCCAGCTGTCGGGACCGTGGGGCGGCATCCCCGCTCCGGGGAAAGCCCGAACCAGGGTCTCCATGGCTGCTTTCAACAGTGATTTATAAATTATTGATTTTATTTATTTATTTAACAAATACAAACTGAGTCATTACTCTGTACTAAGAAATATCACACGTTCCAGATCTTGAAAAAAGTGTTCCAACTACATTTTAACAGGAAAATGTCAAAACTTGGAGAAAAAAGCTTAAAATGAAATTGCTCCTTTCCTTGGGGTTGACATGGATGTCAAAAAAAAGCAAACATAAATGTTGAAGGACATATAAATCCATGTACATTTTGTCTCCAGGCAGAACGTGTTACGTGGAGGGACTTTGCGGAGCCAGCGCACTGTAAAATACGATTTGGGATAGTAGCACTCCTTACAGATTGTAACAAAAATCACCATCCCATGAAATAAGATTAAGGCATGTTAAATGTGTCTCATATTTATTTATAGACTATAGATACTTCTACCTAACCCTGGCTTTTAAAAAAAAACCCACACTGGTGTGAGGGGGTGGTTTTATTTATTTATTTTAGTGACTCGGGAAGCAGCTTTTAAAATGTGTCCTTATGCTCTTTTGAAAAATAAAATAGTAAGAATGAAGCTTCAAAATTAAATTGTAATGGCTGCTCCCAAGGCCGTCCCCACTCTCTCCTGGTTGGCAATGTCCTTGCTTTAAAGCTGTGCCCCGGGGAGGAGTCTCAGTGGTTGTCCCAGAACTAAAGAGGGCGCCTCTGTGCTCACTGATTATTTCCTGGAGAAGCGAGTCCCTGCACACAAGCCCGATGAGCCCGCTCTCAGGTTTCTGCTGGGGACCAGCTGAAAACTTGGTGAAGGTAGAAACCTATCCCACCCCCTTCTCCAAACCTCCCCTCACCGCAGGGACGTCTCTCCTTTTCATGTGCATTTTACAAGCACCTCCCCCCTGAGATTCTCCAAGAAACCCACCTCCTGCAGACATGGTGCAGCCAGGAAGCGTCTGTCATTCCTGCACCGTCACCTGTGCCCTTCGCGGCCTCCAGGGGCCCCCGGGAGCCATGCGGTTCCGGAACGTTCTCTCTCCCACCTCGCCACGTTTGGCTGTGGGTGGGGGCCCAGCTGTCAGTGGGCCCGCCGGGCGCCCCCTCTCCCCCCATGTGAGGGCGTGTCTGACCCCGGGAAGGAGGTCTCAGCATGTCTCCTCCTGTGTTCTTTCCCTCCTCCTTTAAAAGGAGAAGCTCATGGAACTACGCGTACTCACACGTGAATGAAACAGCCCTTCTGATTGTATCTTAACTGCACGGCCGGGCACTCGGTCTTTTGTTCTTGAAACCAGGGCCCTGATCACCTCTCGCCTCTTTTCCTCTTAGAACGAGACCAAAAGCTCAGTACAACGGCTACGCCGGCCACGAAAACAGCAACGGGCAGGCTTCCTTCGAGAACCCCATGTACGACACAAACTTAAAGCCCACGGAGGCCAAGGCCGTGCGCTTCGACACGACACTGAACACGGTGTGCACCGTGGTATAGCCTCCGCGCGGGACTGGACCATAGCCATACCTCGGACGGGCAAGCCTGACTGGTGCCATGGCCCTTCTCCCCCGGCTTGGCCGCAGCCACCTTCCACATCTTCCGATCCATGCAGCGGGTGTCCATGGAGCACACAGGGTGTCCACGGAGCGTGCAGGTGTCCACAGAGTGTGGGGTGTCCACAGAGAGCATGGGGTGTCCACGGAGCATGTGCGGTGTCACGGAGTGTGCAGGCGTCCACAGAGCGTGGGGTGTCCACAGAGAGCATGGGGTGTCCATGGAGCATGTGCGGTGTCCATGGAGTGTGCAGGTGTCCACAGAGTACATGGGGTGTCCACAGAGCATGCGGGTGCCCACGGAGCGTGCGGGTGTCCACAGAGCGTGTGGCTGTCCACGGAGCGTGTGGCTGTCCACGGAGCGTGCGGGTGTCCAAGGAGCATGCGGGTGTCCACAAAGCATGGGGTGTCCACAGAGAGCATGGGGTGTCCACGGAGCACATGCGGTGTCCACGGAGTATGCAGGTGTCCACAGAGTACATGGGGTGTCCACAGAGTGTGCGGGTGCCCACAGAGCATGCGGGTGCCCACAGAGTGTGCGGGTGTCCACGGAGCGTATGGGTGTCCACGGAGCGTGCGGGTGTCCACGGAGTGTGTGGGGTGTCCACAAAGCGCGTGGTGTGTCCATGGAGTGTGCGGGTG